AAAAAGGCGCAAAGGGAGAAAAAAATACAAATATATGTGTTTAGTCCAAAACTAATAATTATAAAACATCAATGACAAATATATGAACAAAGAAATTGATTTTTTTATTTGATTTACGTGAAATATCAATTGTTCAGTGTCGCCTCTTCAACATAGGCTCATTGGCAAGGATAAATATGACTTAGAACCTTGATGATAACACTGAAGCGCACATAAAGCGAGGTGAAGCGCTCACCACGTTTTAAGCCTCGCTTTAGGGCTTAAGCGTGCTTTAAGCGCGCCTTTGACAACACTGATTAGCTTCTAAATTCCTTAAACCCTTCGAAGGATGGGAAGGCATGGCCGAGACATGCAGCACACCACACTTGTCGGAGGAGGTGAACGGAGGGGAAAAAATAAACTCGTATCCAGAGGATGAAGCAGGCAGGAGGAAAGAAGTTGGTAATGAAATTCAAACAGAAAGAGAAGAGGAAGGTACAGGGGACCACAACATGCAAAGATCAGAAGGAAACCTCCAAATCCAGCAAATTCACGATGCAGAACCAGTGAATATCCAAACCCCCTTCACCCATGAAGAAGCCGAATCAGACGCTTCGAACTGGGTCAATTCCCACATATTGGAACTGAGCAACAGTTACGGGGTTTCTTTCGAAGGTTTCAGAAAAGAAACTTTAGAGCTCCTTATGAAAATTGATGTGAGGAAATTTGTTCTAGATAAAAAGGGTCAAGCAAAGACAACCTCAACTACAAAAAGCAGAGGCACTGGAAGAATGAATTAAAGAATTTAAAGTCCTGTTTGAATGAAGAAGTAGGAGGTGGTGGGAACAGGGGGAGAAATCTAAGCTTAACTTACCAATGAAAGTTAACTTAGTCACTTGGAATGTAAGGGGACTCTATAAACCTAGCACCAGAGTCCTGGTGAAGAACTTACTTCAGAAATGGAAAGCAGATGTGTACTGCTTCCCGGAAACAAAGTTGAGTAAGAACATAGAAGATATTGATAAACAGTTATGGGCTTGTAGATGAATGCGATATGGATTCATGGAAGCAGAAGGTAGTTGGGGGGGGGGGTGTATTTTGTTCATGTGGGACAGCATGATATGGACCGGAAATCAGATTGAAATGGGGACACCATTTCATCACGTATGAATTCATATCAACCCAAACGTCTTTCAGTTGGTACCTCACTAAGGGTGTATGCTCTTCATACCAGGGAGGAAAAATTGTTGTGCTGAGAAGAAATATCAGCAACCATGGAGCTATGTGGTGGGGGACACTGGGTGGCTTGTGGTGATTTCAATACCAACAGAACCATGGGGGAAAGAAGAGGGTGTAATAGAATGACAAATGTGATGACTGACTTTGCTCAATGGATACAAGATATGGAGCTTCATGATCCCCACATGATTGGAGGGAGATACACATGGTTTAGGGGTCCAAATCATCCTGGTGCAGCTAGACTAGACAGATTCTTCTTCTCCATGGAATGGGAGGAGACCTTTAACAACATCAGGCAAAAAAAATCGCCTAAGGTAATGTCAGATCATAGTCCAGTCTTACTGGAAGGTGGAAATTGGAGCAAAAGAGGTCAAACTTTAAGTTTGAAAGTTGGTGGCTAAAGGTGGAGGGTTTCAATGAGATGGTACAAAATTGGTGGGATGAATTCGTAGTACAAGGTTGCCCTGATTACAAGCATAGTAGCAAACTAAGGATGTTGAAACATAAACTTGAAGTCTGGAGCAGAGCTACTTTTGGGGAAATGAGAAGAACAATTTGCTTGAAGAATTGACTAAACTTGATTTGTTGCTGGAAAGTAGAGAACTATCTGAGAGGAGATGATGGTGAGAACAACAATTGTAGTTGAACTGGAGGAGTTGGCCAAGAATGAGGAGTCCAAATGGAGACAAAAATTCGGAGTCTTGTGGCTAAAGCAAGGTGATAACTGGTGCTCCCAAATGCACACGCAAGTGTACGTGGTCGCAGAAGTAATTAATGACTTTTTTAGAACCGAATTATCGAACCCAAAGGACTTACGATCAATTTATATCAATTCTATTAGTTCCACAATTTAAAGAAAGTATTTTCACAAACTTGTATTTTATTTAATATTACTATTGCGAGTAATTGAATTATAAAAGTAACTAATAACGACAACTTCTATTTCGGTGATTTAAACAATTAAGGGACAATTCTAGGGCTATAACATGCTTAAGGTTTCATGTATCACATTTCATGCATGAATTAACTATGGTTATCGAATTACTGATTTACGAGGTTGGTTTTATGATCATGATCTCTCGACCTCTAATCGCCCACTCCAATTGACTATCTAACTACATCGTTGAGCGGGTATAGACATGCTCAATTGGCGAGCATTTATATTATATCCTGTTTTTTTCGGTGTTTGTCCGGGTGTCAATCCTAAACACGAATTTGAACAAGTGATATGCAAGAGAGATCGAGTTCTTTGTATTCTTTGGTCTATCTACCTCTCCGTCTCTCGAGTTCAAGAATAGACAATATATTTATCTCAATGGTGGCCAATCATGAAATACTAAAATAAGGATACAAAAGTAATTTAAGTGATAGCCAACATTAATTCAAAACAATCGATGTTCAACAATTACCTGTTGCTACAACCCCAAAACAAAGGCTTTTAGCCACTCATAATATTCAGCCTTGATTTTTGTCGTGCTCGTTTCCTTTCGCTCCCATCACCTCCTATTTAGCTCATAATCCTTTAGGAAACCCTGCATATGCTAATCATGTAGGTTAGTGTGCATTCATTGCTATATTCAATCAAAACTATCAATTATAATCAAGCACGTCCTCAAAACATAAGGCATATACAGGTAAATGGGCGTATAAATATGCCCAAGATCACCACCCAAACTTAAGCTTTTGTTCGGCCTCGAACAAACTCTCGATTCCCAACTCATCATTCACGCCTTTGGACTCATCTACCCGCATTAAAATCAACCATGCACATTTAATCATGCTTTTGTAATCCACACTTCATGCAACAAATTAACAATGTAGTTCACATTTTAGTATACCAATTAACACCATATAGCCTCAATGAATGACTCTTCATATAAGAACACACCAAAGTACAATTCACCCAAATGTGCATCATGAATGCCCTCTTTAGTATAGCTTTTCACTCATCATGTTTGTATATTGTATTTCAAACCAAAGCCTATTTTTCAAAGTCAAACTTTTACTCTCACAAATGATGTTCTTACATATCCTAACATAACATAGGCTTGCCCTTAGTGTACTTTAACTTTCACAAAGCATTAATCATGGAATCAAGAAGACTTAAATTTGGTTGTCATGGGTAAATTTTTCACCTCCCTTCTATAATTTTACCACAAAAAACATTTCCACCCTACTTCACTTCTACCATTGTTTTCATTTTGCTTCTTGACATAAGGATCAACTTTTGGATCAAACAAAGCCATGATATCAATTAAAAGAGATTCGGCTCAATATGTGGCTAATAACAAAAAAATAAAGGTTAAAAGTCTCAATGAGGCTAGCATCCTTTGATGCTCATGCTATCATTACCACCTGGGCTCCACAAAAATTTACAATATCATTAACTATTTAAATTCAAACTAAATAAAATTGTCTTATACTTGAGGGAATGATTTTTACTTTTATTCATCCTGTTTAAAAATTTATAGATAAGTTTGTACTTTGTTCCTAATTTATTCTTATTCAAAACATTGGATTAATTACATTTAAAGAATGATATAGTAAAATTGTCATTTTATTTATTGTTCATTAAGGGCAGGGTCGGCTCTATGCTTTGATTTTTAAGGCATATGCCTTAGGCGGGGTCTCAAATTTTTACTAAGAATAAATTATGTGTTAATTTTTTTCATAGAAAAAATTTATTATACATGATAAAAATTATATTTTAAATATATATATATATATACCCATTTTGTTTTAATTCTCATCTTTATTTATAATTTGTTAATGTATTAACTTATAGAATTATGTCCACAATTCATATAATGATTGTCTCAGTGAAAAGATGTTTTTCAATATTGAATTCATAAAATCTTATCTAAAACTAATAATTAAAAAAAGATCAAAAAATCATTTATAATAAATATTAAGTAATAATTTGCATTTAAAAAGTGTAAGAAAAATAAATTTTAAATAAATACATATGAAGTTTGTTTAGATTTTAGGCCTCTAATTAAAATTTTGCTTTAGGCCCCCGGTTACGTTGAGCCTCCCCTGATTAAGGGCTATGCAAAGTCGGACATATAAAAATTGACAAAGGAAAGCACTTGTTTAAAAGCTGAACTTTTCATGTTATTAGAGAACTAATACTCCTTTCGTTTTAATTTGTTTGTTTGATTTTGACTAGAGAAAGAATTAAGAAAATAAAGAAGACTTTTGGATCTTATGATCTTAAACTTAAAAGTATGTAGAATATATCAACATGTTCTTTGATCTTGTGTTGTTAGGTGGAAAGTTAGAATTAGGAAGCTATCAAAAAGAAAAAAAATTCATTTCTAATTATTATAAAAAAATATTAACTCAAGGTCGATGTTGGGTCCGTGCATAGCACGGGCTCCTCCTAACTAGTAATGGATATTCAATAAATGGCCACATTGCTGACACCATCTCTGTAAGAATTTAGTTTGTGTATTCTGAATGCTTAACTGATCGAGCAAGAATTGAAGAAATTGTTTGTTAATTGGTCGGGTGTACTTCATTTATGAATTGAACAAGAACTGAACAAATTCTGAAATGTGTATACTAAAGTGCGGTACAGGTATACTCTATTTTTGATAGCTTTTTGGTGTTTTTAGAAGGTTGAAGTACTATACGACTCTTACACCTTAATGAAAATGGTATCAACACAGATGAGAAGTCCACATAATATAGTTTGGCCACAATTTTGTTTCCTTGATATGTAAATCATTTGAAAGGTCCTTCCATTAAGTTTATTCCTCTGGTTGGCTGCTTGGTTGCAGGCACTAATTGCTGATTTTGAAGTGTCAGAAGGGATTTATTCTCGGGCAAGAATTGAAGAATCTGATTCGGTGTGTCTATGGCTTGGGGCAAATGTCATGCTGGAGTATTCATGTGAAGAGGTATCTGTCTGGTAGTTGAAACGAGACCTTCCTGTAGCCTTGAATACTGTGATATTTGTAGTGCTAATCAAGAGATATTGTTGCATGTTTGATGGAGCAGGCTACTACCCTTCTTAAGAAAAACTTGGAAAATGCAAAAGCCAGCTTAGAAGTTCTTGTTGCCGATCTACAATTTTTGAGGGATCAAGTGACAATCACTCAGGTCCATTCTGCTTTAACTCTTATGTCGGACTATAACTTGGGCAGTGTTTTGCTGGCAATAAATTGTCTTTACATTCTAGTAGTTGGTTTTCATTTACTTCAAACTTGTGTTGCATATGCTATGCAAGAAAATGATATTGCTTTATGTCCAAAAAAAGAAATTGATTTGTAAATTACCTGTGAATGCATCTAATGTTGGAAGTGAGCAAATTTTTGAAGCAAAAGCTTTTAGTAGCTCAAGATCTCACTTTTCAGATTCCATTGTGGAAGTGACAATTTTTTCTGAAGAATTCGCCATAATATATACCTAATGGTATCAAAAGCGTAAAGCACAAAACTACTCTAATGTTTGTTGGGGCTTTAAGTGCAAAAAGCAAAAAAAGGGTGGGTTTTATTGAGAAAAGGCGCAAATGGAGAAAACATACAAATATATATATATATGTATGTTTAGTCCAAGACTAATAATTATAAGCATAAATAACAAATATATGGACAAAGTAATTGTTTGTTTTTATGATAAAGTGAAATATCAATGCTTTGGTTTCACCTCTTCCGGAAATGCTCATTCACAAGGAAAAGTATGTCTTAGAGCCTCGATGACATAAGTGAATCGCACATAAAGCGAGGTGAAGCGCTCAATGCATTTTGAGCCTCGCTTCAGAGCTTAAGCGCGCCTTTGATAACACTACATATACCTGATCCATGCATAATCTATCTATATTACTTCAAAAACATGGAAGTCCTGAGAAATGTTGATTGAACTTTTTGCCCTTCATTAAAAGACACTACTATAGGCAAAACTATCTGTTAGAATAGAAATAAGTATTTCCTACTTAGAATAGGAATAGGAATAGGAATAGGAAAAGGAATAGGAATAGGAATAAGAATAGGAATCCTAGTTGGAAAAGGATTCCAATGTAGTGTCTATAAATAGGGTATCAATGTAACTATTTAGATACACAATTCAATAATATTTTTTCCATATATTTCTCACATGGTATCAGAGCATTGGTGAGAAACTTCAAGCCACCGTGTCAAATTTCGGCGACGACGGTTGGGACTGATTTGTGTCATCTTTCGTTCTGAAGGTGTTGTGCGAAAGACAACACCATCACGAGGCTCGGGAAGCTCAGGCGACCGAACCCCAATTAGATCCACCGGAAAACAGCCCCTCACGCGCCGTTCGAAGGTGGAAGTTTTCTGGCAAGATCTGGTCACTCGTTGGCGCTTGAGTGCTGCTCCGGTCATCTGTTTTCGAGCAGTTTTCTTCTGTTGGGGTCGTCCAGTATTTCCGACCAGAACCCAGTTTCCGGCGAAGGCAGACCACTGTAGGGCAGTTTCTGGCAAGTTCCCGATAAAATCAGAATTTTCAGGCCACTGTGGGCAGATTCCGGCAGCTTCCAATATTTTCAGACGTTTCCAGCATACATACCAGTCCATGGAGAATCGACGAAGGAGAGAACGTTTTGGAAAATCTCGATCCAAGTGTAGTCATTGTCATAAACCTGGACACACTCGTGACTTATGTTATATTTGCATGGTCCACCACCCAGTTATGATCCTATTGTTCTAAAGGAATATAATGAGCTCCTTCGAAATCGCGCAAGTAAACAACGTTTTGGAAAACCTCGATCCAAATGTAGTCATTGTCATAAACCTGGACATACTCGTGACATATGTTATATTTTGCATGGTCCACCATCCAGTTATGATCCTATTGTTGTAAAGGAATATAAAGAGTTCCTTCGGTATCGTGGAAATAAACAAACGTCTCCACAAGTAGTTTCGGTTGCACAACCTGATGTTTCTGTTCTGGGTAATTCATTTACTTGTGTGTCACAGTCTAGCACTCTTGGATCATGGGTCATAGACTCAGGGGCTTCTGATCATATCTCTGGTAAAAAATCACTATTGTCTGATATTGTTTATTCACAATCTCTTCCAGCTATTACTTTAGCCAATGGGATCCAAACAAAACCAAAAGGGGTTGGAAAAGCCAAACCCGTATCTTCTGTCACCCTAGACTCTGTTCTTTATGTCCCTGGTTCTCCTTTTAATCTAGCATCGGTTAGTCGTTTGACGAAAGCCCTACATTGTAGCATAACCTTTTTTGATGATTTTTTTCTCATGCAGGACCGCAGTACGGGAAAAATGATTGGAACAGGACATGAATCACAAGGCCTTTACTATCTTACCTCTTCAAATTCCTTAACAGCATGCTCCGTTACAGATTCCCCAAATCTAATT